ATCAGCAACTAAAAAGAATCAGTGAAGGGTTGGGAGTCGAGTGCTTAAATCCATAACGTCTCAGCTCCTATTGCCTTTCACTATACGCAGCCAGTTGTGGGATGGAAGTTATCCTTAATATTTAGAAATAACCTTAACGTAGAATTAAACTACCCTAAAAATTCTACAGTTTGCAACTCCCAACCTCCGCCCATATATTTGATATTATTTTTTAAAACGATATCCTTAAGGTGGAGGATGAGGATTTTGTAGGAATTTAGGTTGGCTCATTTCTACTATAAGTAATCCAAAATGTTTTCTTACTTAACATTTATTAATACCTTTTTACCCCTCAGTCAATCAAATATAATGATGCGTTTTGTTAATCTTTTTTCTTGCATGATCTAAAACATTTTCGCTGGGCTTTCCAGTAAATGGTAATATTTCAGCGTTAAATGTTAAAAAAGAAGACAAATAAACTAAATAATTAATATTACCATGCTCTGTAATTTTTTTCTATTTCTGCCTTAAGTCTATTCTTAAGAATAGCTAACAACGGCACTACAGCTGTAGAAGCACTCTCGTCTCCTTCCTCTATTTCCTGAATGCCGTAACGTGTGTCAAGAGTTATGTGATGAATCTATTCTGTTGGAAAGTAACAACACTGAGAACGTACTTCTAGCGCTCTAGAAGAGTGGTATATAGCTTAACAACGCTATTACATTGCTTCTTTTCAACGCAGGTGAAGGAAAACCACAAGTCTGGTTCTATAGGAACAGTCACGCACTACTCAGGTATTTAAAAGCTGATTGGACAAGGAGATGTTATACGCCATGAGCGCATCATTTAGTACCAGCGTTCCCACTTTTTGACAAATATTTACTGCCCCATCGGGAATTCTAGCTTTTCCTCTCTTAATGTGTTAAACAGCAAAAGTTCCATTTTTTGTCTTCAGGTAGGTAGGTGTCTGATATAACTGAGATGAGTGTCTCATTCTGTCTCGGATCTGATTTCTTTTCCATTCATTTTTTTTTTAAATAACGGCAGTATTTAAAATATTACTACATTGTAAAATCCGTTGTTAAAAATAATGAGCAAAAAGCGCAAGTATTTGATTATTAGGAATTAATTAAGCACTTCTTTTAGGGCTTTGACAGCTTCCTTTGACGTCTAAGTGTGAAATTTTATCAGTTGCATGAGTTTGCATCCGATGCCATCTGTTCAGTTACATGATTCATTATTTAAGTTGCTTGTGGGAAACATTGCTCTGTAGCGTGACCACAATAGGCAGATAAGTCACAGCATAATAGGCTTCTTCCTTATTTGGTGATATAGGTTGGAGTGCGCGACAGAAATAATTATTTAGAACCAAAATCAGTATGTGCTCTAGCATCCGTCAAGCTCCAATCTGTATTTCGTATATATAGAATACCTGTTTTGAATGTAGCACAAATGATTAGTCTTCTTTCTTTTTACTTAAATGCTTTTTACTGGAAACAGAATGCATAATTAATGTATCGTGACGAAAAATCCCATTTACGAGATGAAAACTGTTATTCCAAACAGTTTTTCAGTTGAGCTAAAAAATTTAATTATGATTTATGATTCTGTATTCCAACAAAAATCCTTTTTCTGTAATGAAACTAAATGATTTGTTTGTTTTGAATTTCGCGAAAAGCTAAACGAGGGCTATCTGCGCTAGCCGTCCCTAATTTAGCAGTGAAAGTCTAGAGGAAAGACAGCTAGTCATCACTACCAACCGCCAACTCTTGGGCTACTCTTTTACCAACGAATAGTGGGATTGACCGTCACACTATAACGTCCCCACGACTGAAAGGGCGAGCATGTTTGGTGGGACGGGGATTCGAACCCGCGACCCTCAGATTGCGAGTCAAGCGCCCCTAACATAATTCTCTAACACACGTTTGAAAGAGAAAACTTTCGAAAAACTTTTTTTTTTATTTAGTTCACTAAAGCAAACATAAATTCCATAAAAACCGTTGTTAACCTCGAATCAACTCTAACTAGGACAAAACCAGTGTAAGACGCGAGTCAAAAATACTTCATCAAAAAGTTTCGGTGACCCGAGATTTAAGAAATGGAAGAATGTTTACCTTCTGATTTTATTATTAGTTTCAATCATGATATATTTTTTCTGCCATTTATACTTCATTTGCAAGTAAATATACTCTGCTTCTCTTATGAAAAGGCCCGGCATGACTACGTGGTTAGGGGCGCTCGACTCGCAATCTGAGGGTCGCGGGTTCGAATCCCCCGTCCCACCAAACATGCTCGCCCTTTCAGCCGTGGGGAGTTATAATGTAATGGTCAATCCCACTATTTGTTGGTAAAAGAGTAGCCCAATAGTTAGCGGTTGGTAGTGATGACTAGCTGCCTTCCCTCTAGTGTTACACAGTTAACTTAGGGATGGCTAGCGTAGATAGCCCTCGTGTAGCTTTGTGCGAAATTCAAAACAAACAAACAAACAAACTCTTATGAAAAACGAAGAAAGAGTTAGACCTTTTCTCGTGCTTGTTACTCGTACAATATAATCACATTTTGCCATGGATATAAATAACTTAAAGCAATTAGGAAAGATTTTAATGTGTTAACGATGACTCAAGACCATCACATCGTTGCCTTTAAGTAAATTATGTATATTGTGACATTTACAGAAACTTGCAATTTTCATTAATCTTGATTAAAATTCCCAACCGTGACAGTCAAATGATAAATTTTAATAGAAAGAAAAATCACCAGATGGCTACAATATTATAATATAAATAGCTTCAACATAAAATTATTAGACTTGCATAACCATTAGTTTTTCATAACGAATGATGACTTTCCTAGATTAAAGTTGTTTTGATGTTATGAGTGTACAAAATTTCCAACGAGAAGGATGTTAAAAGCTGCTTTCTTATATAAGTTACATTAGCTTAGCTTACATGAGAGACTTTAACATACAACTTCATGCAACGTATTACTTAACTTAAGCACTTAATTGAACGGTAAATCTTTTGTATTCTAGAATTTTCAACACGTGCGTCAATTTATATATATTACACATAAACGGCTAGATCAGATACGCATGGCCTTACCTAGCTTAGAACTTTTGAGTAGATCAAGAGCAGCACGTGACGCCTATCTGACTTCTTTTAACCGAATAGCGAGACTGACTGTCACAGCTATAACACCCCTCACAGTTGAAAGTGCGGAAAGTGCTCAGAGACATATCACACCTCGAACCTTGGAACTTACGATTAATGGTGTCACAGACTTTAACGACTCAGATCAAGTGGTTTTTCAAGAGGGATGATGTTGGAAGTAATCTTAGAATTAAAATTAATTATTTTAAATTTCGGAAACAATAAAACAAACGATAGTTATTAGATATGGGCTTATTACCATCTCCACTCTCTTATCTGTAATAAATTTAAACTTTATGTACAAATATGCGTGTAACTTTACAAGAGTTTTTCTTCTTATTCTGTTACGACCCTAATCCCAACTAGTTTGGAGTCAGTCGGCAACCAAATAGGACGAGTATGTTCAGCGACCCTCAGATTGCTAATCAGCGACCTAATCACCAGGCCCTTCATAAAGACTATTGCACAAATAAATATATAAACAAAGAGAAGAATATGAAACCTTAAACGTGAGAAGTAATTTGCGTAAAAGGACTTCAAAAATTAACCTTGTGTTGTTATTTACCAGCTACAAAGAAATAATGGTTAAATATAGTGGCGGTTGAAATGCCGGGATTTTAACTAGTTAAACAATAACTTCGAATGGACCTTTCACGAAGTTTTAAATATTCCATTTATTGTGTTTTCATTTCGACTGAACTCTAGCGTTAGTCTAACGATTGTAATTTTCATTGTAATATCGCATTTCTTCTTCTGCGAATGTTTCTTTTATAAAAACTTATGTTTAGAATTTGTTCTTTAAGATAAATGCATTGCTGATGTCACATTTCGCTTTTCGATGTAATAGAAATAAAAGAATGACGTATTGTGTTTGTTTGTTTGGTATTAAGCACAAAGCTACACAATGGGCTACCTGTGCTCTGCCCAAAACGGGTATCGAAACCCGGTTTCTAACATTGTACGTCCGCAGACATACCGCTGTGCCACTGGGGGGGGGGGGGATGATGTATTAGTTCATTTGTGTTGTGCGTCTTGCATTTAAGAGATTGCATGACTCTCTGTAATCGCCTTATGTTTGTAAAATACTTCGCCACTATGCTTTTGACTTTCATTAAGCGGATTCATTTGTAATCTCGAATAAGCTCAGATTCCAGAGACATTGCAGCTAATATTCAAAGCTAGGAAATCCAGATTTTATCAATATATTCTGTCGCAGTGGAAACCTTGCTGTCTTCTATGTGGATCTTTAGTTTCATAACCCTTGTTTTTAATATAAGTATAGTATATATACACATATAATATACATCAACACATTTATATATATATATGCGTAAAACAAATAAATAAGAGGCAGAAATGAACATATAACTGTGAAATAACACAATAATTCAAAATGCTTGTAGTTTTCCTTTATTTTCAGATTAACTTTTTAGTTTATTTTTGGAAAAAAATAACAAGTGATACAGTCCACAGTTTGTAATATTTTTTATTATTTCCACCTTCTAGTATATAACAAGTGATACAGTCCATAGTTTGTGATATTTTTTTATTATTTCCACCTTCTAGTATATAACAAGTGATACAGTCCATAGTTTGTATTATTTTTTATTATTTCCACCTTCTAGTATATAACAAGTGATACAGTCCATAGTTTGTATTATTTTTTATTATTTCCACCTTCTAGTATATAACAAGTGATACAGTCCATAGTTTGTATTATTTTTATAATTGCCGCCCTCTAGTTTGTAGTAGTAGTACATATCGCAAACAACCCAAAAAGTGGATTTTTGACTTACTTTACGGGATCGAAGTGATCGCTACTTGCCTATTAAAGTTTAATAATTGAAATGGAGCTGATATCTTTTTTTACAGTGCTATCGGAGTCTTTGTCCATGAAGATGATAATGATGGACATTCCGTCGCCTACCAGAGTAGGCCAGGCTGTAGAGCTGGTGTGTAACTACGACTTGGAGGGAGAAACTCTATACTCGGTGAAGTGGTACAAGGATGGAATAGAGTTTTACCGGTTTGTCCCTAACGACTGGCCTCCTGGACAATTCCTTACACTTCCAGGAATTAGAGTAGATGTAAGGTTATTCGCTCTGTAGATGTACTGAGAAAAAAAAGCAATTTTAATATAGACAGACACAAAGTAAACTTCCCATTTTTTTAAGTTCAAGCTTGAAAAAGTTTTAATTCCGTCTTCAATATTTAACTTTTTTGAAAAAATAATAAGACTTTTTACGTGACATTATTTCCAATATTCAAATAGCCATGATTTTACTCACGTGACTCTTTTCCGATACTTGAATGTAACCATAGCGTTTTATTTGTTTTCCGTGACGTTATTTCCGATATTAAACTAACCACGGCATAACCATTTCATTACGACTGAAGTGTTTAAATGATTGATTTTTTGAAAGCAGTAGCTCCTTCGTTAAGAAGAGTTAGATTTTCTCATATAAAACTGATTTTAATGCCATTAAACTATTTATATTATATTGTATATGTATGTATATTTATAGTGAGATAATTTCTGGCATATCATGGGATTATTTTTAAACATTGTCTGCACCAGTGGTCTAAATTTCAAATTTTGTACAAGACATGCTTGTGAGCAACGGAATATCTATATAAAACCAAAGACCGTGGTGGAACAATGCCCCTTGCAAACTGTTTTTATCTCAAAACGTTTAGAACTAAATCAGTCTAATTTGACAAACACGTGTTTCTGAAATAATTTTCATTGTTTCTTATGTGTCAACAGGGTATCACTATAAAAATATTTCGTTTAAGCTGCAAGTTCTCAAGCTAAAAACTACTACATCTCAACCGCCTACTCAATTATCTGCAGTTGGTGTTGTTCAATTGACATCACCTTCGCATTGTGACCACTCCGGATATATTGTTTCGTTGGATACAGAACTCAAGAATAAATAATGCAGTCTTAAGACACATAATGAGCATGTTTTCTAGTTCACTCCAGAAATAATACAGTTGGCCTACATAAACACGTCGCTCCGAACTGTACGCCTTTCTTTTGTAATCCGAACTTATGCTAATTAGTTTGGCACAAAGTCGCTTATATGTATTTAAAGGAATGAATGGGATATTAGTGTTTGTGTTTTTTTATATACATTGTTTACAGGAGAAAAAATTACACTTGTACTTAAAAACAACAAGTACAAGTTACGCACAGTAATCAAGTAAAATAATCCTCAAAATTATTTATGGACAAAAGTTACTTAATTTAAAAGAAAAACCTAAATAGAAAAATGTAAATTATGTACAACAATCTTCACGTCAAAGTCAAATCGACGTTGTACCGGGAAATAAAATAACTTTTAAAAAAAGTGTTTATCGTACTTAACCGGATCGAAAAACAAAGAAACATGAGGGATATTTATTTATGTTATTTTATTTGCAACATTTTATGGCTATCTCTTGTGCATCTTGTCCTCAGTAGGAAATTTCCACAGTTAATGATTATCCCTGAAGTTTCACTTTGCTTATCTTTTTTATGTGACACGCTATTTTTTCGCACAAGAGTTTCAACGATCATATTTAGGATTTTATTTTGGACATCCTGGATTAAGCAGACAAATTTTAATATATATATATATTCAACGTATAACTCTGGGATTTATGTATTCTCCTTAATAGAATTTTTTCCCCAGGTATAATACATAAATGTTTTGTTTGCTTTTTCCTTAAGCCTTTTATGATAGGCTTCCGGTACAGGACCAGTGAGTTGATGCTTCCTTTTATCATTAAGTATACTTCGTTTGACATCAATCCTATTTCTTTGGAACAAAATCTATTTAGGCTAAGCAAAGAATTCAAAGCAGCAGTATCAACACAAGAGTGATGAAAATCGATTGTCTACTTCAGATTTCCTCTTCAAGTTGTTTAGTGGCTAACTGTGGGGTATAAACATGGTTACAGGTCTGTAAATGACGTAATAATGGAGAAAGATGGAGGGGATAGTGTGTCGCATTCATAACATTTCGGTGAAAAAATGGACACCAACTTTGTAAGTTACGCAGCAAATTATCACAAACTCATAAATTTTTAATATATGTTTACATCGCAACCTATAAAACGTACTCTATGCAAATCCTGATGTCTTGAACCTGACAAATATGTAAAAGTTTAGTTTTCGTGGATGATATATTTAAAATATCCATTACAGGCAATCATGACTCAGTTTAAAAAAACTTTTCTAAAAACAAAATTTGATAGTGAAGTTCCTTAAATAAAGTATTCCTCTAATATAACTGATGATATTTATAAAGAAGATCGTGTGACAGAATATCATCTAATCTCGGTATAAATAAAACTACGTGCCTTGTGATGCTTTATAGTATACGAGTTCCCATCTGTATTAAAACAAGGAAGTTTGTACTTTTCGGCAAATTTAAATAGAATTCAACCGTTCACAAAGCTTTTATAACCCGTATACGAGTGTTGATAAATAAAGTTAGAGATCATTTTACGTTTCGCATGACAATCTTATCTAGTATACGCACATTCAAGATGTTATATCCAGCATTTCATAAAATACACGAATAATACACTCGCGGTTATTATGCTAATCTTGGCAGGAAGATTGATACACATGAGGAAGATATCCCACCCTCTTGGCTAATTCAAAGAAACTACTCTGATTAGAAATTCTTTAAATGCTATGCAAGATTACATTCCTCTAGGGGTGTTTCTCTGGCACTCTGGAATGCTCGCTCAACTTAAGCTAAGCTTCTGGTAAGCTCTAAGACGACGTCATTGAGCAACGTGCTCGGAGCTTTATCCAGCGTTTCATCATCATTACGTCTCTCCTGCTGGTAAATATTAATACTAAATGTTACAGCAACTCACCTGTAGATGGATGTTTAGACATTTCAAACAGTTGTTCAATTAGAATTCTTACGTGAATATTCTCTTCCGTAATGCAGTCCAATGCAATGCCTTCTCGGATGTTCAATACACTAAGGTATTTTTAATAGGAGCTAATGTCGTAACGCAAGCTACGTTTATAAATTAATAAGCTTCATTTCGTAACCTACTCTTACGTCTTTCCTTCTCCAATGTACTTCCTGAATATTGATGAGCGTACACGGACATTAGGTTTAGTTAAGATTTAGTGGCCATTTATTTCATAATTTTCTCTACCTTTCTGCGTGGAAATTTTGGAATATGGACAAGCCACCTGGTAATCAGTTTCTAATATCCTGATGCCAAATACAGTAAATCCAGGCACGTGACGTTGCTGCTCCAGGGTTTGTTCATGTGGGGAAATAACCAGGCAATAAACTAATGCGAGTGATTTTGTTTAACTTATCAAACCTATATGCTCTCGTTTCGGATAATAAAACTATTAATTACCGAAATATAGAATAATCCAGCAACAAGCAGTTTACTTGCATTAGTGAAACGTAACGAAGAGAGCTATAAAAATGTCGCTAGTTCACTAAACAAAATTGACTATATATTAAAAAAAGACATGATCGGATAATAAACTAAGGTATAAAACTATTTTCCGCTAACTTTTAACTCGTTTTAACATATAATAAAACATCCCATTTTTACCTCAATTTGACAGCTTAATTCAGAGTGTTATATAACTCAATCATTTTCGTAGTTACCTTCAATAGACGGAGTTATCGAGAAATTATGTTTAATTTATTCCGTGTCATTATGCCTACATGGTACCTCTAAGTTGCTCAGTTGTCAAGAAATTACGTTTCACTTATCCTTTGTTATAATGGCTATGTGTTACTTCCACTCGATAGTTGTTGTGAAAATGCCTTACTTGTTCCTTTTGTCACACTGGTTTGATGAAAATATATTGTCCAACTGTTTCATGGAGTTACTCTAAATCTGGAGGAAAGGCTGACTGAACCGAATTATATATTAAAGTAAAAGTATATTAAAAAAGATTAAAATATGATTATGTTTTTTTATATACTGGTGATTGATCGGCTTTCAATATGAAAGATAATAAGAAAATACTGAGTATGTTATATACAACCTATATTAGATATTTATAATAACTCTGACATATTACACGTGAACTGAACGAAACTAGGAAATTGTACTACACAATTTGGAGATTCAACTACCATAGTGTCAGTAGAGTAGCAAACAATGTGCTGGATTTTCTTCGCCAAACCGATGCAACGTCATTGCACACAGTTTCTATGAAACTGAGTTCCCCTATTCTCTAGCGTCACCTGATTAGAACCCTTGTGACTTTTTTCTCTGGGGTTATTTGACAAAACAACAACATATTATACAAAAGTTTAAAGATGCAATAATTCTGGAAGCGTATCGAAGTTCCCTAGACACAATTCACAGAGTTGTGCATAACGATACTTCACGTGATAAGGAAGAAATATTAAGCATGTCATTTACTGCCTATTGAATCTCCATTCTGTAGCGCAATATTGTCAAGTCTCGTGTGTAAAACATAAAACTTTCAGTTTTTTTCACTATCTACTATTAATCATTTTCATTATATATAATCAGCATTAGTCGATTTTAAAGTTGTTATAAATTTATATTTGCAATTGATCTTATAAAGAGTAAAAACTTGTCACGTTCCTTGCTTTTAAAATATTTTTAAGATGGCGATGTGTTTTAGATGTTAATGAATTAGCTATTACTAACACTCAAATTACTGAGAAATTCGATATTATATAAACCTATTATTTTCAAAACTTTGAAATCGTTAAGGTATTTCATTCTTTACAAACAGCTAAACTTCAGAATAACGTAGTTTCGATTTTTCAACACCATATTCACAACTAGCTTTTTCTAATAAACAGTATGGCATAAGACTTTAACAATGAGACATGAATATAAAATATTGCTCGTGAGTAGTATGAAATGGGACCCTGGACCCTGAAGTAAACAAACATGACCTTCACACAAATTCAACAAGCTTGTATAACGTGTCGAGGGCACTGACGCGTCAACAACACCAGGGGGCGTGTTGCTAGGTTATCATCAACACCAGGGGCGCGTTGCTCTGTGCATGTTGCTAGGTGGTATAATAGGATTAGGACAGCAATAACAGAGGCGCGTTGCTATGGGCGCAATGGTAGGTGACACCAGATGACGAGTTTCTAGTATTTATCTTTTTCATATTATTTCATTCGATTTATAGTCTTTGCTTTTGTAATTAGTTATCATGGAAACTTTCTGGGATACTGTAGAGAATAACGATACAGAAAATTAATTGTACATTCATGAAATTCTCAATGTTTTATGGTACGTTAGACAATTTTCTTCTAAGTTACTAATTTCTCTATCGAACTAGAACTCATGTATTTGTCGTTTAAATATAACCCACCAATATTTGTACAACTAAGGTGTATTATTCACTATATTTCAACTCTGACAATGAAGTGCGGGTTTTGTATGTCAGTAAAACAAAATTATCTATTCATTCACTTTACAAAACTGTTGAAAAACATCTCATCTTACGAATTACACTTGTACGCATCTTACATGTTGAGATTAAAAACTGTGTTCTAAATGCATGTACATTCCAACTTTTATTCAGCAAAGTAACCTAAAAACATCCATGTGATGTCCTACAGAATTGAATTAAAGCTAACAACTAACTGTACGGCGGAGAGACATGATCCCATTCGTCTAGATAGTAGGAATCACTTATAGTATGTAATTACAGGCGTGGTTTGAAAAAAGAACAGTTATGTAGGTATGAACTAAAAATGAATAAACGACATGTGTTTTATAACTCCTTTAAAATTTTATTATGGTACTAGAGAATATTATTTTCTGTTTCTAAGTTACTACTTTCTGTTTTAGTTCTAGAACTCACATATTTGGCGTTTAAATATAACTTTCCGAATATAACTCACCAAGATCTATTCAAAAGCCTAACTTCTTGAACATGTATTGGTTTAGACTCGTAAAGAAATATCAGTATTGCCCATTGCTTTACAATTTGGGTTGTCTTCTTCAAATTTACCCGAGGGGTAAATTTCTTCTGACAAGCTGACAATTCGATATTTACAAATAACACAAACTCAAAAATATATGAATTATACAAAGATGGACAGCAAAGATTAACTTTCATACACGTCTTTTTTTTCACATATATATGTTCTCGAGTCCCTGCCTTGTTACAAGAACAGCTTGGAAATCTAACTTTCCACTGTGGAATACCTCTCTCGTCATGACCACATTTCCAGTGGTAAGTTTCATTAGAAGTATTACCATTCAATAATGTACGTAAGTAAAATCACAAAATCTAACTAAGACTGTTGTCGCAAAATAGTCGATAAAGTAGTTTTCTGAGTCTACAAACTGATATCTAAGAGAGGTTAGGTTATGTTTTGTTGACAGAGATTTATTATACTTGATTACTTAGATTCTAGAACACTTGGATATAGTGTGAAATCGGCTTTTTCATGTTTTTCAAATGAGGATTTATCCAGACGAGGGATATTAATCTGAAGAAATGACTTAGTTTAAATAGTTCTTAGTTTAGTTTTCGGGGCCATCGCATTATTGAATTGTAATACTTCTAATGAAACGTACCACTGGGAATGTGGTCATGATGAGAGAGGTATTCCAGAGTAGAAAATTAGAGATTTCCAAGCTGTTTTTGTAATAAGATAGGGACTCGAGAACATATATGAAAAAAAAGACGTGTAAAAAAGTTAATTTAATCTTGGCAATCCATCTTTGTATAATTCATACACATTTCAGTTTGTATTATTTATAAATATCCAATTTATCGAATTGTCAACTTGTCAGAAGAAATTTACCCCTCCAATAAATTTGAAGAGGACAGCCTAAATTGTAGAACGATGGACAAATACTGTTATTTATTTATTTACGTGTCTAAACCAATACGTTTTCAAGAAGTTTGACTTTTGTATAAATATTGGTGAGTTATATTCGGAAAGTTATATTTAAACGCCAAATATGTGAGTTCTAGAACTAAAACAGAAAGTAGTAACTTAGAAACAGAAAATAATAATCTCCAGTACCATAATAAAATTTTAAAGGAGTTATAAAACACATGTCGTTTATTCATTTTTAGTTCATACCTACATAACTGTTCTTTTTTCAAACCACGCCTGTAATTACATACTATAAGTGATTCCTACTATCTTGACGAATGGGGTCATGTCTCTCCGCCGTACAGTTGTTAGTTTTAATTCAATTCTGTAGGACATCACATGGATGTTTTTAGGTTACTTTGCTGAATAAAAGTTGGAATGTACATGCATTTAGAACACAGTTTTTAATCTCAACATGTAAGATGCGTACAAGTGTAATTCGTAAGATAAGATGTTTTTCAACAGTTTTGTAAAGTGAATGAATAGATAATTTTGTTTTACTGACATACAAAATCCGTACTTCATCGTCAGAGTTGCAATATAGTGAATAATACAAATATTGGTGGATTATATTTGTAAGGTTATATTTAAACGACAAATACATGAGTTCTAGTTCGATAGAGAAATTAGTAACTTAGAAGAAAATTGTCTAACGTACCATAAAATATTGAGAATTTCATGAATGTACAATTAATTTTCTGTATCGTTATTCTCTACAGTATCCCAGAAAGTTTCCATGATAACTAATTATAAAAGCAAAGACTATAAATCGAATGAAATAATATGAAAAAGATAAATACTAGAAACGCGTCATGTGGTGTCACTTACAATTGCGCCCATAGCAACGCGCCTCTGTTGTTGCTGTCCTAATCCTAATATACCACCTAGCAACATGCACAGAGCAACGCGTCCTTGTTGTTGTTGACGGGTCAATAACCTGGAAGCATTATATTGTTGAAATTGGGTGAAGGTCATGTTTATTTACTTCCGGTTCCAAGGTCCCATCTCATACTACTGTCTTGTGTAAAATTATAAGACTATATTTACAATTTTTAACATTCAAGGTATTAACTCGATGTTTATAAATTTCTAATCGGAAATTAATATTTATTATAAGTGACAGAATTAGAACAAGATGGATTTAGCAGACTATGTATATATAATACAGCAACGTTGAAAATGACAGTGTCACAGAATAATTTTTATTAACTTGTCTAACAGATTTTTTAAAGTTATGTGACAAAAAAAGTTATTTTTTTTCAAACTATTTTATTTAGTTGCGATTGAAAAAGGTAATTACAAGAATCTCGGTGGAGTTTTTTTTTCTTTATAAAATCGAGAGGCGGATAAGGAATTAAAAAAGTTGGAATAGAGTTCATTAGAAAAACAAAAGTGGAGTCAAAACACGACAGAACTTCGCTCTACTTGTGACTCAAAACAAACACACGTATATCAATATATCTAATGATATATTTGATGATTTTCAATTTATAACAAAGTGAAAAAAACTGTCTGAAGTTGAGAAATTCAACAAAAATACTTTTTAATGGTTGGAGACGGCTTGAATGGGTAATGAAGAAAAACTTTAATATAAGTTTAACATAACAGCAAATGTACAGTCGTTTCGGCAAGGTTTTGTCATCATTCAAGCCGTCTCTAACCATTATTAGTCTCAAAGTAGGTTCCTCGTCATCGAATTTGAAAAATACTTTTTGCATTAAAGAAAATAACCCCTCCTCCCACAGAAAGTGCTTGTAATTAATTGAGATGTTGTACAAACGTTTGCAAAGGTTGTGGATGCGGTAGAAACTCCCGGTGAGAATTACCTGTCTGTCTATGATAACTTTTCAAATTCCTATTTTAACTATTCTTTTCACAACTGCCGAGAGTTTAAAAGCTACAGTAAACATGAAGAAATGGCACGTGCGCTCGACAACTCTGACCATTTTTTGTTTTATTCTTAAGATATTTCTATACTAGGAAAACTTTCATTCTTGATTAATGTATGAGATAATAACTAAAATATAAATTTTCCACAGATAATCACAAATATATTTACAAAGCATGTTATCCATGGTAGCTTATCCAAGTAAGTTATTCATGGTAATTTCTCCAAGTAAGTTATTCATGGTAACTTATACAAGTAAGTTATTTATGGTAACTTATGCAAGTAAATTATTCATAGAAACCTATCTAATTAAGTTATCCATGGTAGCTTATCCAAGTAAGTTATCCCTTGTAATTTATCCAAGTAAGTTATTCCTGGTAATTTTTCTAAGTAAGTTATTCATGGTAATTTATACAAGTAAGTTATCCATGGTAGCTTATCCAAGTAAGTTATCCCTGATAATTTTTCTAAGTAAGTTATTCATGGTAATTTATACAAGTAAGTTATCCATGGTAGCTTATCCAAGTAAATTATCCATGGTAGCTTTTCCAAGTAAGTTATCCCTGGTAATTTCTCCAAGTAAGTTATTCATGGTAACTTATACAAGTAAGTTATTTATGGTAACTTATGCAAGTAAATTATTCATGGTAACTTATACAAGTAAGTTATTTATGGTAACTTATGCAAGTAAATTATTCATAGAAACCTATCTAATTAAGTTATCCATGGTAGCTTATCCAAGTAAGTTATCCCTTGTAATTTCTCCAAGTAAATTATCCATGGCAACTTATCCAAGTAAGTTATCCAGGGCTATATATATATATATCTGCATCAGTCATCTCTATATGCATAGGTTCTTTTATGTTTCTGTTCTTTCTTTCTTTCCAAATATCATCATTTTTCTTACTTATTCAATTATATATATCTCTATTTATTCGTCCTGTTATTTATTTGTCTGCTTAAAAGAGCTATTCAATCTTCTCTCCATCGATTGATCCTTTATTTATCATCTGCTTCTACCTTTCCTGCCTTCAGTTAGCAATTGTTTCTCACTCCATCGATATCTCTACTCCATTTATCTCCTTAAAATCCATCTTTGTATTTTTGCATTCTTCCTTCATGTATCTGTCCATTCAAATATCTTTTGCTATCTACTAACTCATATATACATTTACTAACACACCCACCCATTAACATCACTTTCTAATTTTTACTTAATTATCTATACATTCTTCCACTTAATTATCTAAAGAGAAACACCTTCAGCTGTCTAGGTCCAACAGACAGTCAGTGTATCTTCGAGAGGTTGATCTGGATACAGCTGGAGTATACCGTTGTGAAGTTTCTGCAGAAGCCCCTATTTTTGATACAGTGTCCGCCAAGAAGGAGATGAAGGTATTTGGTACGTTCTTTATAAAATATTTTGGTATTTGTTTTAGTCTGTTTAAATAAAGCTCAACAGAAAATGTTTTAAAAGTAAGTTTTTAACGGGCGTTTGTGTGTATGTGTGTGTGTAATGTGGATATATAGTCGACAGAAGCGAGCGAGAGGTCTAGCATAGACACCAACATCCTTGATGAAACTTCAACCTATCACTGATAACAGAAATTACTTTTTACTTACTTTCAACTAAACGACAACAAGAACAGACGAGATTATTACGCTATTGAGTTAATAAGCTGCTTTCTTTAATTTTTGAGTCATGTTAATATTTTCTTATATATCGGTCTTTACAAATGTATCTAATTGGTATAAAGTTTTGAAGTGTAAGTTTAATTAACTGAAGTTTAATTAAGGTAAGTAAATTAGTAAAACTATTTGTGTTCGCTAGTCTTTAATAGAACAAAGTATGTTCATAGAAAACAATAACAATTACAAGATATTTCTGATTTCAGAAGTTCTATTAAGCCAAGTATAATTTTTACACATAAAATAGTTAATTTTCAGTTCTTTTTTTTATATCAAAACACTTTCTTTAATACAGGTACACTTATTAAAATGCAAATACACACAGTTGAACAGTATAAGTCTGTCTCGTATTACAGGTTTTATAAAATAAGTGTAGCTTTTGATATTATAATATCTATGATTTTTCATTCTTTGGCCTAAAAGTCTATTTGAAATTGTTAACAAGTGTGCATACCTTATACCTCGCACCATTTAGTAAAAAAAATGTTTTAAAAACCAAATAATGTGTAAATTCTTCTTGATATGGTTACTTTGTGTTACAGTTGAGCATACTCTATAGCTCACTATACACAAAATATAAAAACTGCAGCACAAATAATTAATCTCAATTTCTCATACTGTTGCGGCTAGCCTTTGAAATTGCAATTTTAGACATTTTAGCTGTCATTGGTATAACTAGTAAATAATATAAACTGATTTTCTAACCAGTTTTTCATTCTAAAATTAATTCAATACTATCGTTTCAAATCGAACTGTAATATTTAATTTAATATTACCAAACCATGTGATTTAATACGTTTTTCCAAAGTGGGTAGGAACCGTTTTGCTGAGTTTCCTTTAATCTTTAAAAAAAAGAAAAAAAGTTTGATTTGATAAAACGACTTCCAACTCCAAAAAAAAAGGGTTTTAATTTGTGCAACGCTTCATTGTTATAATTATAAGTTCTTTAGGAACGAATGTTTTTCACTGATTTCTAAATTCTAAAAAGGAAGCGTTGAGCGAATGAAAGCATTTTTTATTGAAGTTAGGAGCCGTTTTGTCAAATCGAAAACATTTATATAACTTCAGTTTTCAGTTCACTTTGACAAATAACAAAAATCTTCTCTTCGCTCTAATACGTTTCGCCTCTCAGTGGCTGAGTGAAAAGTATGTGGGCTTATAACGCGAAAAATCTCGTTTCGGTACCCCTGGTGGGCCCAGCACGGATAGCCCATTGTGTTAACTGTAAACAAACAACCAATACGCTTCCTTCTTTTTTTTTTACGTATTGCTAATATTTTGATTAGAACTAGGTATTTCCACTTCACTCACAATGATAAAGATTTACTTTAAAATCCCCAATCAATATGTGTAATTTGTTTCTGAAGTGAATAAAAGAAACAGAATAATATTTTTTAAGCAAATAAATTGTTGGACAAACTTCTGCTCATTATTTTCAAATTACAGTGAATATCTTTTGAGATTAAGGAACTTCAAAATTATAGGATTTACAACAGCAAAAAAAAAAAGAAAAAGGAGTGAATAACCTGTAATCTTTCAAACGGCACAGCCTTTAGAACGTTATGCTACAAACGGCACAGCCTTTAGAACGTTATGCTACAAACAGACAACTACGAGTTATTCTAATTCCGATTTTATTTGGAATTTTTTGGTTATGTTGTATGTCGGAAAGTCAAAGAGACAAAGACAACGAATGGTTGTTTTATGTTTCGAAATTTTGCGCTACACACGGGTTATCCGCACATAGCAGTCCCTGAATTTGAACTTATAGAAGAGAAACAAAATAGCTAGTCAACAGCACCAACCGCCAGCACTTGGACTATTCTTATATGACCGAATAGTGGGATTTTGACTATCACTCTTACAACGTACCCATGTACTTAAAGTGAGGATTGCCTTTTTTGTAGCAAAGAGACGCTAACCATAAACCCTCGGATTCACAGCTAAAACATACCAACCACTGCACCTTGCTCAGTCTGAGACAACGAAAATGAAATTATAAATAAACTTTACTCACCCCAATGTTTTTATCCCTAAATAAACTTTACTCATCTCAATGTTTTTTCCCTAATTAAACTTTACTCACCTCAATGATTTTATCCCTAAATAAACTTTACTCACCTCAATGTTTTTATCCCTAATTAAACTTTACTCATCTCAATGTTTTATCCCTAATTAAACTTTACTCACCTCAATAATTTTATCCCTAATTAAACTTTACTCACCTCAATGATTTATCCCTAATTAAACTTTACTCACCTCAATGATTTTATCCCTAAATAAACTTTACTCACCTCAATGTTTTTATCCCTAAATAAACTTTACTCATCTCAATGTTTTATCCCTAATTAAACTTTACTCATCTCAATAATT